GAAAACTGGTTCCTATATAAGGGAAATATCTTTTCCAATTGTGTAAAAAAGATAAAGCTATTCTTGTAAGAGGCAGTGGAGGCCCATAGTGTTGAGAGACGTTGAGGCTCCCACATTTCTCTAGACAGTCGGCTCATAGATGCCGGTGAAGTTGTCTGCCTTAAGCGCCGGTCGCCCATTAGCCCCAGGAAAATTCCTGATACTCATTTCTGTTAGAGGCTGAGTCGACCCCAGGGCCATAGTGCGCCTGGAAGGATTAGGGCAATTGAAAAATCCAATGACTTCATCAGAAGTCGAACCCGCGATCTTCCAGCTTTTAGCATTGTGCCTCAACCTGCCACGCTACCGCGTGTCCCTCTTTTCCAATAGGGATTGTTCCTAAAGGCAAAAGAAAATGTCTTAGAATTTCTATATAAACAGATTGACTTATTCCACTATTAACTCGAACCACATTTCGACTTCAACACTGCTCATTACATTTTTTAACAAAAGACGGATTGGAGAAAAAGTCAAAAACTGGAAGGGTTGAAATATAGTTGTCCCTCTGCTTAATTTACTAAAATTTCATGATGACATGTGAGAGACTGGAGGCATACATCCATGCATTCTCTATCTCGAAACTAGATGGAGATTAATGGCCAGTTTCAGGTCCCGTCTGCTTTATCCCCGAGAAGAGAGCCCTTGGTACCCAATGCATAGGAGGCTGAGTGAGCCCAGATCCCGTTTAGAAGCTCCTGAGAAGAGAAAACTCCCTTCTTTCTGCCGGGAACTTAACTCTTAATTGAAATAGTGATCAACGGGAGAAGACAGATTAGATGTAAAACGGCATATGATGAAACTGTCACCTGATCAAACTGTTCCTATTGAAACTTACAGGGAGAAACTTGACGGGTCAGAAACTGATGAAAGTGGACCTGGAGTTTCAGCCCTTGGGAAAGTGTATGGACGTGATAACCGAACAAGTGGATCCTTGGGCAATCAACAAGGAGCTTAGCGTCGGACTGCTGAATGACTCCATGTTGTGCGTCGGAGTGCTTGAAGGAGGCAAAGATTCATGTCAGGTGAGACCACATGCAGGGTATTGTCGGTCGGCTGGCCCTCGCCAGTGCAGTCATTCCTGGCTTCAGGCCTCGTCGAGATCCATGATCAAGATTTTTGTTATCTCCTAGATATGTACGTGTTTAGTGGGGCCTCCACTTCGATGGGGGGAGGGATCGGTCGCTCTGTGTAGATGCTACGTTCGTTGCACCGTAGTTTCAGCTCGAGTATATCTTCAGTGTCACGCCGTCCAGGACACTGTGGACCCTGTACATCTTTGTCGCTGCACTAACTGACTGCTAAATTGCTACTGAACCTCGTCAGCACAATGATTCTTGGTTGCGAGTGCCACGGGACTCATGACCATAGCTACTACACATCAGAGGTCAAGAAATCCCATACCCTTACCGAAACAGGAGGTCAAGCAGCACCATCTCAACAACACATTCATTGGCTTTGAATACGGAAAGATTCGACTTCGGTTCCCGGCCCCAAGTTCGGTTATCCTGACAGAATTTTCAATGTTTTCTTAGCCTCTCCAGGAAAGTTCCAGAATGTTATCTTAAATTATTTAAAGACCACTTTCCTCGAAATATTTTCTACTTCATCTATAGTTCTCGTCAAGCTTAAGTAATGTTTAACTGAAAATATATGTGAAATTTTACATTTAAAAACCAGTTTGATATATAATAATCTTGTGGTCTTTCGTCCTGTTTGCAATGCTTGTAAATAAAAATGGAGGGGTTTTGCGTTACAAAAACAAATTATATTTATTTACCAGGCCAACTTCAAAACATCAAAAACCACGTCTCACAGGGACCATCTCTTTGCGTTTCTTAATATCTAGGTATATTTAATATTATGTTGGATGCGACCCAAATACAACAAAAATATTTTATACCAGCATCATAGTTTATATGTAGTCCGTCATCATTTGTGTATTTCCTCAAGAGTCACCTGAAGATGGACTACATGTGCCGAAACATGGCATGAACTGATAAATAAAAACATTTCCTTGTGTGACATCAACCTACTCATTTTTATTTGATATATAGTACATTCTTGCAGTCACAGAGGACGTAGTTATTCTCGGTGCTTCAGAGATGGCGCCAATAGTCAAACTCCATATCCACTTGTGGAGAAGCGTTAATGCGGCTCGCAGGGAAGAATAAGAGTCAACACTTTTTATATGGAAGCTGCCAGTCGCTCAGATGCTAAAAAAAATTCCCAACAATTTACGGAACCCGAAAGTTCATTACCGTGTTCACAACAGTCCTCCACTTGTTCCTATCGTGAGCCAGATAAATCCAGTCTATACCATCCTATCCTATCTAAAATACATTTCAGTATTATATTCCCACCTACGCCTAGATCTTCCTAGTGGTCTCTTTCCTACCAATATCCTATATGCATTCCTTTTCTCCCCCATTCTTATTAAATGCCCAGCCAACCTCATCCTCCTTGACTTGATCATTCTAATTATACTTGGTGAAGAGTACAAGTTATGAAGCTCCTCATTATGCAGTTTCTCCAACCTCATGTCACTTCATCTCTCTGCGGTCCAAATATTCTCCTCAAACACTCTCAGTCTCTGCTACTCCGTTCTACAGTTTGATTACATATAAAAATCCGCTAGTGTACACTACAGACATCATTGTAACTTCCTTTCTCTGTTACAGGGGGACTCGGGTGGACCGCTACAAGTGAGGGCTCAGTCGGCCGTATGTGACTTCGATGTGGTGGGTATAGTGTCATTCGGCATAGACTGTGCAAAGCCGGTCGGTCACCCCTGCAGTCTACACGCGGGTGTCGAAGTACGTGCCTTGGATCGAGAGTGTGGTGTGTGCCTAAGGCGAAGGATTTTGAACCAGTCTTTCTGTTATTAGGTAACACCACACACTGCTCTAGCTCAGACAACTAGGGCAATGATAATGGACATTAATGCAAAGAGAAAGATGTGGTAGTTACTATAGGATTCTGACGATGGTGTATAACACACTGATATATTGGGTTTTTGGACTTTATCCATCGTCCTGGTCCAGTGATTGAGGCTAGCTCTTTCTAACGGACCCAACAGAATAGGTGTTTTCCTTCACCTGAGGACGGAAACAGATCCAGTTTCCGAAACGTCGTGTTTTTATTAGTTCTCTTAAAAACCAGGACGATGGATAAAGTCCAAAAACCCAATATATCATAAAGATGTGGGTTTCTCATCTACCGTTTGCTTACATAACGACTGAGAAATGCCGTGCTGAAATTCAACGGGAAGTCCGATGGATATTAGTTTAGGCAATTCTGTTATCCATACTGACTATCTGACACTGTGAAGGAGATAGTTTTCCTGCTGATATATATGTGACTTTGAGGGCATTGACGGCCCCTGGGAAGGTACATTTCTTTTTTCCTATGTTGCTTTTATCATGATGAAAATAACTACTGCCCATGTTTTGTTCATATCATGACAATTTATTGTAATTCAAACATGTTATGCAACACTGTAAATACAATTGTTTTAATAAACTACTAGGATTACCAGTGATATTTTTTGCCATGTCATTTAAATACTGACCGACCGAGCGACCGCCGCTTGTCGGCAAAGTTAGTGCCAACTTTTGCGAGTAGATGGTGTCGCGTGGTCAGCGCAACGGATTCCCGCGACCGTTAATCTCGGTTATCTAGACCGGAGCCGCTACTTTTCCATTCAGCTAGCTCCTCAGTTATTCTCACGAGGTCGAGTGGACCCCGTTCCAGACCCACTACTTCTCAGGAAATCTGGTAGCGCCGGGAATCGAACCCGGACCTCTGATCACTAGACCAGAGGCGGTGGTACATGCTACTAGATTTTCGAAAAACAGAATACGAAACTTTTGTTAAGATAAGTTCCACTGAAAGTAAAACAGCAATATGTTGGCTGCGCTGAATAAATATTTCATTTTTTGTTTGATGGTCATAACTAGCGAAACCCTGTAATTAGGCATGTAAACTTTTGCTTGTTACACGCTTCATTTTGGTTTTCTGCTTGGCTTATTCGACTCTGAAAATGTCAGTATGTCCCCACATTTCCTTGAAGTAGTCACCTTGTACTCATGTACTGCGTTTCTCATTCTACGCTATATATGTATGTATAAGGTGGGGCACGGGGTAACGTAGCGTAGTTCGTTGAAGCACTATGCTACAAGCCGGAAGGTCGCGGGTACAATTCCCGATGAGGTGGCTTTTTCAATTGACCTAATCCTACCAGCCGCACAATGGCCCTGGGGTCGACTCAGCCTTTAATAGAAGTGAGTACCAGGAATCTCCCTGGGAGTAAAGGCAGGCCGATATATATGGCTGACAAACTTACCGCCATCTGTGAGCCGATTGTCTAGATAATGCGGGAGCTTCGACCTCTCACAACGCTATGGGCCTCCACGCCCTGTTACCTTATTGAGTGGAAAAGTTATTTTAACGCCTAGGTCGAAGTAACTGATGTTTCGCACATAGAATATCTGTATAAAATATTAAAATTTTTCAGAATAAATGTATCAAATTTATTGCAAAAATTTCCTACAGATATACCAAAACTTCAATCTGTTTTCCAGCAATAATATTATTTACATTTTCTTTCAGTTTCGTTTCGCGGCCGTTAAAGTAGCAAGCTGCACCTTAACGGACAGACATCTCGTAGCCCTCAAAGCATGCCGATCTGTTCAACTATACAAGGTAGGGTAAAGTTGCCCCTTTGTTTAACTAATTAAGCACTACGCCATGAAGGCGTATGGGGGAGTGGATGTATAGATACACATTCTCTTGACCTCGGCACTAGCTGCAGGTGAGTGGTGAGCTTCACGCACCTGCCGCTTTACCTCCCGGGAAAGAGCCTCCGATACCAATTGGATAAGAGGTTGGGTGGACCCCAGAGTCGGTCTGGACGACGTTGAGAAAATTCCTGACCCTTCCGGGACTCGAACTCCGACCCCTCGGTCATTCAGCCAGTCGTCAGTCACTATACCGACTGCGCTATCCTGGTTCCTGTTCATCTATATAAATTTACAAATTTGAAAGAAACGAGGAGAGAATGAAGGAAGGTAAAAAAAAAGTCAAAAGGGGAAGAAAATATGGAGACATGACAAGAAACGAATAAATTGACAGACAAAAGAAAGGAAAGGGTGAAGTTGTCTTTATGTTTAACTGATTCAGCACAAAGTCATGGATACTTATCGGAAGGCGTAGGTACAGGCACCCAATTCTAGATCACGGCATTCGGAGGTGTAGTCAACTTCACGCTCCTTCCGCTTTATGCCCCAGGAAATAACCCCCGTACCCACTGTACAGGAGGGTGAATGGGCCCCAGAGCCAGAGCTGTGGATTAGGGAAATATTAATTGCCAGTACCGGGAATCGAACTACGATTTTCCAGCCCGTCGCTATACAGCCAGAGCCATTGCTCTACTGAATCCTGAAGAGAGATGGTAACAAAAATTGGGGGAGGGGAACATCTTACAGCGTATGAAGTTGGCAGGTAAATTGGGAGAAGCTGCCATCCACCAATATTTATGCTGATCGCTTTCTTGTACCTTTGTTTTCTTTTATTTTTTAGTTTCGCCAATAAAACGTTTTTGTCATACCGCCCGCATACACTCTCAGACATCACGAAAAATGCTAGGGATCACTTTCTCTGGCCTCGGTAACATCTGGACGTTGAATCCGTTAGCTGGTTTCAGCAGTACCCCAGCCTGCAGATTCCTGTCCAAGGATTGCACTCCTCCTGGTGTCCTGACGGTGTACGCCCTCAGAACGGAGGACAGTATCATCTTCGCTTCCATCATGCTGTACTTATAAGCCACACAAATCCTGCGCCCCCCACCGAAAGGCATATAGGCGCACGGCCGTGTGTCGCTTGAGAACCGTTCTGGATTAAAGAGTTCCGGATCAGGGAAGTACTCAGAGTTCCTGTGGGTCATGTAGCTGAATATCACAACGCGACTGTCTTTCGGCAGGATGTAGCCATTTTCCAGTTGTGTGTCTTCTTCAATTTTTCGGAAGAGAAACGGCACTGAAGGATAGAGACGCAGTGACTCCTTCATAACCTGGGAACAACGTTCATACATGGACTTCGTGTTACGTAAGGCAAGTACATGCAGGGTAGAGGGCAACAAGGGGCTATGTCATGACATGATTTCTGTGCTTATGTGATGGCAAAACGGTTATTATGAGGATACTAATCACTACACAGAGCCTAATATTAATTTATATAATTGTAGCCGTGTTTGTACTTGCATTGTATTCATTGTGTGTAGTGCGTCCTCTATTGTTTGTGCAGTTTTGTGTGTTGTGTCTTATTGTACTACCACTGCCACCCATAAAACCCCATAGTGATAACATAAATATGTTTATGTTATCACTTTTNCCTCTATTGTTTGTGCAGTTTTGTGTGTTGTGTCTTATTGTACTACTTATTGTTATCACTTTCTAATTAGGCTTAAAATTAAAAAAATGTCAGTGAATGTTATAGGGAGACAATGAGAACCAAATTTAAATTCATTATGTACAGGTCGAAACTGTTTTCTTTTCGTTTTGAGGAGTACCACTTACTTCAGCGAATATTAAGGTCGCCATTTCCGTGCCAAAAGCCCTGGATATAAAAACATGTGGTTTTAACCGAAACGCTGGATTGAATCAAAGCAGCTACGTGACTGCAGTACAAAAACCAACATACTAATCAGATACCTTCCGTGAGAGCCTGTGACAAAATCAATTTTTCTCATTAACTGCTGTGAAAATGTGGTGTTGGAGAATGATGGAGAAGATCAGTTGGACCGATTATGTGAGAAATGAAGAAGTGTTAATTAGAGTCAGTGAGCAGAGGAATATCTTACACGAAATAAGAAAAGGGAAGGCTAATTGGATTGATCATGTTTTACGCAGAAACTGCCTTCTAAAAGAAGTTGTTGAAGGAAAGATAGAGGGGCGGATAGAAGTGACAAGAAGACGAGGAAGAAGACGTAAGAAGATGCTGGATGACCTTGGGGACAGAAGAGGATACTGTCATTTGAAGGAGAAAGCTCTAGATCGCATTAAGTGGAGGAATTGTTTTGGAAGAGACTGTGGACCTGTCGTCTGACAGATTACTGATGATGATGATGAATTGCTGTGACAATTTCTTCCAAATTTCGTCAAAATCTATTAACGATATTGGATATAAAGTATTCGCAGAGAGAGCTGGACTGACCTTTATAAATTTTCTGCAATTAGCGGTATCGACATTAGAGGATTCTGAGTCTGAGCTCCGCCTACCTGTTCAAGATAATTCATGTTGCATAGATCCTTGCTGGTAGTGGCTCTGTGGATGTCATCTCCAAATATTTTCTCCTGTTCTTCCAAAACTTTGTCCTGGACTTCCTGGTACACCCCCAATAAATATAGCACATAGCAGCAAGTGACTGCCACCTTCGAGCTAGCAACCATTAGGCTGCACAGTTCGTCTCTGATTTCTTCCGCTGTCAGCTGATTGTCTCGTATCAGCAGATCCAACAAACACATCTCCCTTCCTCGAATCCACTGCACATATTCCACCTGTTGCTTCCCACGGTTTTGCTGAAGTCCATTTCGTTGCGATGTTAATTTTTCTGTTATCACCTTATCAACAAATTCATGAAGATATTTCAAAGAAACTTCCTTATCTTTTTCATACTGTTTCTTTCGATTTTGTATACAGTCGTTTATTATCCAAGGGTTCTTCAGTGTTCCTCCTAGTTCATCCAAAGCATGCAACAAATTTTCAACAAAAACGTGATCTCCTTCCATTTGGGTATTCACATTTGTTCCCATTGTAGTCTCACATATAATATCAAGAGCGCACTCACATACATAAGGATAAATATTAATACTAGAACCATTAGCGAGCAACTTGAGTTTCTGCGTCAACATCAAGCTGTTCTGAAAAAAATTCCACATGAACTGATCTAGAACATTGTTATTAAAAGTCGATGAAATTATTGTCCTATGAATTTTCCATTTCTCAACATCGGGCGCTATTGCACCGCTGCCATTGGCAATCTTTGAATCGGATGAAATTGTCTTGATCGGCGCTTTGCTGCTTAGAAGTTTCTCGATGCTTTCTGCGTCCGATATGACTATATATAATTTATTCCCCATCCAGAAGCGAACAACTGGTCCATATTTGTTTACAGCTTCAACAAGTTTTTGAAATAACTGAACAAGATTTGAACTTGCAAACGTTGGTATGCTGCCCCAAATCGGAAGAGACAATGGTCCTGGAATATTGGACGTAAGGTTTCTGTTGCGCTTCTGTGTCCAACAATGGACCAGATAAAGAGGAAGAGATACAGTGAACAGAACTGTGATCAGCACAGTCCACCAGGTTGGAAATATATTTATCCCATTACGTAGAACCTGTATGTGTAGTGAAGAGAAGTCAAACCATTCTCGTGAAGAAAAAGTCAAGTTGTTGATGAAGCTACTGTTTACCTTATCCACGACGTTTATAGCAACCTTCCACCACGATTCGACCACATGTGGCAGTTCCTTGAAAATATCTTTACTTACGAAGTGGATGTTATCCATTTCATACCAAAATGAACTCACAGGCTAATTAACTTTCAATTCTTGCTGCAAGTCAACTTTACACCACTCACTTCAAATACATTCTTCACACTACACACAATAACAGGTAAATACACTTACATTTTCGTATGAATGAAATTGCAGATAATTTGCTTTAACTCTTGACAGATGTTCCAAAAAGTTTCTTTCTTTCAACACCGTCACACATCGAAGATTTTCATAATAGAACGTGTATGTTTACAAGCGAGATATTCCTTTTGAAGCACGGAAAGTGATAAACAACAATAATTTTTCTTCAAAATATTTAACTGAGAAACATAACGACCCATTCAAGAACGTACACAATTATAAAATATTTTATTGTTAAACAAATATTAGCAGAAGAATATAAACAAAATTGTAGTTTAGCACCAAATTCCTGACCACACACAGACAGCTGGTGACGTAAATGCAATTTCGAACATAAATTGAGTGACGAATTAATACGAAATCGTGTCCCAGCACGACATCCTTTGCACACGATGCGTACGAGGAACGGCGCCGATGTGTGAGTCCCTTTGTCTTGCTGCTGTGGACAGGCACACTCATTGTCCATAAATACAACGTCATTTATAGAGATTCAATGACGTTGTCAAGCCTTGGGAACTCAGCTTACATAACGTCACATTCAAGTACTTGTTTTTCTGTTACAAACAAGTCCGTAATTTAAATATCCCTGGAAGACTTTCAAATCTTCACATATATAGGCCCTTACATTACACGTTTCGAAACTTTATTTAAATTACGCAAGATTCTCTTCACTTGTACAAAGAGAGAGAATAAGAGAGGAAGAAAGCTCTTGGAGTATTAACTTTCTTGTCTTTTTCCATCCCATGTTTCGAAACAAGTTCAAAGGATAAGAAAATTGCTTCACGGTCTGTCGCACTAATGCGCTATATTTATACGGGATGTCTGTTATCTGCCTTATCCGCAACTAAACTACAGAGAGTCGTATGACGGCTGAATGATGGCTTCTAAGGCTATGAAAAGGAGCGGTAATAGCCTAATGTAGGTACCATCCCTGCATTTTCTCTGAAGGGCTAAGAAAAACCATGTAAAACGCCGAACATTAGTGTCCCGGACTAGATCAGAACTGAGAGCTTCCCGAATACGATTCTAGTGGGTTGCCGCTAAGCTAACTCGTCCGATGTCTACATTCTATCATATAAAGCATCATACACCAGATAAACAAAACAAAGTGATGAGAGTGCTTAGATGCAGGGTCATATACGTATGTTCTTCAAAGACTGGGGTATAGGCTTATAAACCAAGTCACAGGATTTGGATCTTGGTTTATTTAATGACACCGTTCCAGCAGCTGGCCGATCACAGTGGCCGCGCGGTCTAAGGCACGAAATGTCTTCGTTCGCTCGAGCACTGGGATCGTGGGTTCGAATCCCATTTAAGGCATGGATGTCTGCCTTTATTCTGTGTTTGTGTTAGGTAGCGGCCTTGCGACTGGCTCATCAGAGTCCAAGGAGTCCTACCGACTGTCTAGGTTTAAGGAAACGAAGCGTTTCATGGATGCCCTGTGCTCCACGTGGGAACAACAAGAACAGGAGGAGGAGGAGGAGAAGAAGAAGTTCCAGCAGAAAACTGTATAACATCGACTGCAAATACGTGATTGGGCCTTTACAGCATTCCAGTCCATGCTACGAAAACTTGGGGCATTTACACCATCATATCGTAAACAAATAACTACGTCACACTTTTAGGGCCCCATGGAATATCTTCACTTGCTTTCTTATTTTCTTTCTTGTAGCTACATTTCGACTTACATTATGGCCTCCAGTTTCAGGATTCACTCTTCCTTTCCTATTTTCTTCCTCCTCTTCCTCTATTTTGACTATTTTGAATTTCTTTCTCTAAGACATGGCACGGATCCTTCGATTGACCGGCGAGACCATTACAAGGTGTCAACAATTAACAACAAAAATAAACCAAGAAAATTTAATATCTCACCGGAAATCAAGCACGCATTCCAAAGTACCTGAATTACCTCACGCCATATGGGAACTCTGAACGCCATACTATCGAGTACGTGCTTTTCCAATCACAGGAACCGGGGTAGCTCAGTCGGTATAACGACTGGAAGTCCGAGGGATCGGAGTTCGAGTACCGGTGGGGTCAAGAATTTTCTCCTCTTCGTGTAGTCCAAACCGGCTCTGGGGTCCACTCAAACTCCTAATGAGTCCCCGGGGTAATACGCAGGGGCGTGATGCTGACCATTCATCTCCGGCTAGTGCCCAGCTCAAGAAAATATGGATCTATACATTCACCCCCCATAGGCCTTTATGGCGTAGTGTTTAGTTAAGCACAAGGCAACTTTACCTTCTACTTGCTTTCTTAATCACCACGGCTCCTTGTGACGCAGAGGTTAGACACACGGATATGCAAGTATATGACATTGCGGTTGGTTATTACCTCCAATTACGAAAGCAGCAAAGACAATTAATTTCGTATTCATGACGCCCGGTTGCTAGGTAACAACGGCAACAAAAACTTGAATGTTGCAGTAACACTGACGTAACTCTCACTCGGAAACTTTGCTAAGAGGTCTCTACAACTGACCCTTGAAGATATTTTAATCCTCACAGACATAATTCGTTCAAAACGAAGCCGGGATAGCTCGGTAGATATAGTGACTGACTTACTTACTTACTTACTTACTTAGAGTGATCAAGTCGAGGAAGATGAGGTGGGCAGGTCATATAGCACGAATGGGGGAGACGAGGAATGCGTATAGGATATTGGTGTGAAAGCCAGAAGGAAGGAGACCACAGGGAAGACCAAGGCGTAGGTGGATGGGCAACATTAGAATGGATCTTAGAGAAATAGGATGGGATGGTAAGGATTGGATAGACCTCGCTCAGGATAGGGACCAACGGAGGGCTCTTGTGAACACGGTGATGAACCTTCGGGTTCCATAAAATGCTGGGAAATTCTAGAGTAGCTGCAGAATTGGCGGCTCCTCAAGAAGGGCTCAGCTCCACGAGTAAGATATAGTGACTTGACTGCAAATTTAAATACCGACAAACAAGTGTTCGAATTCCGGCATGGGGCAAAACATTTCTCTCCACACTGTACAGACCGGCTCAGCATCCCCCCCCCAAATCCTTCTATCCAATGGTTACCGAGGACTTTTTCCCTATGGTGAAATGGCCGGGGCGAGAAACTAACCGTTCACCTCTATTTAGCGCTGAGGTTAAGAATGCGTGGAGCTATACCTCCACTCAAATTAGTCTTTTATGGTTTGCTGTTTAATTAAGGACGAGCAAGAAGATAAAATGGAAACCGAGATACAAGAAACGGAACCGTTTCGCATGGGAGTAACGCCCTACATTTGTATTCGGAAGGTACTTGGTTCGAATGTCGCTCGAGACACTAGCTATCCCGAGTGCATTTGTGGACTCTTCAGTCCCTCCTGGCAAATGCCGGAAAAATACCTCAATTATAACACGACCGCTTCCTTCAAAATCCTTTCCACCCGTTCACTATTTATGTCTCATCCAATCTTCCGACGCTAGATAGGCTTTTTTTTTTAATTCGCTTAGTGTGGGGTGGAGTCCAACTGGTTCCACTCGGCACGGCGGCCACTGATTGGCCTACTGTACCGGAACCGGGTGATTATGATTATGGAGAATTTGGCGGAATGAAGATTGGCAGGGGAAACCGAAGTACTCGGAGGAAACCCAGCGCTACTTCATGGTGTTTCTTGAAGTTAGTACGATAGTTCGCCACGCGCATCGCTGTTTACTAACAAACTCGCTTTGGTGTTCTCTGGCTTCGGCATCAACATGAGACCCGTGCCACCTGGCGGCCGTTTCTGTAACTTGGCGTTGAATGAATACGAACGTCGTCGAGGTTTGAGGTTCTCATCCGAATGTTAACGCTCGTTAACACTGTTCGTTCAGAATGTGAACTTGGAGGCAGTTCGTTCCGCGAAACGATGCACGCATCTACCAGACTACATGGCGGTGCACTCCATAAGACGTAATCTGAACAGCAATTCGCTCTTTCTCGAGGTTGGCAGGGGAAACCGAAGTACTCGGAGAAAACCTGCACCAGCGCCACTTTGTCCTCCACAAATCCCACTTGATCACACCCGGGATCGAACCCGGGCCGCCGCGATAGGAAGGCACCGACTAACCGTTTGAGCTATGGCGCGGCCTAATTCAAGTTACTATCCCAGAATTTTTCTTGAATGACGAAACAAAACCACGATGAACGTGTGAAAGCACTTAACTGTCCGGTCGAAACTGAAATAGGCCGTCTCTCGTCTAGAAATCAGTAAGATTAACCAACCGATTACATAAATTCGTAGTATGCATAATTACTTCAAAGGTTTACAGTTATTAAGAAATACCTCATTACAGAACTCGAAATTTCTTCATGACTATAAAAAAATTCTGGAAATATAAAAAGAAATGAGTCATTTTACTGTAGCTGTGATTGATAATAGAGAAAAAGAAATCTTTCTTTGCTAAGGTTATATACATTTTTCAAGAAATATCTGATTTTAAATTCTGTTTTAGCACTTCAGTGCTTTCCAGTTACTCATTAATTATTTCGAGCAAACCAAGAGAACTGCTCTATGTGACCATTTTTTCCTTAGTCGCATGAAATTTTAAAAGTCACATTTCCGATGTAAGAATACTGGTGTTCAATATTTTACACCTCAGAGAACAAAAGAAACTATAAATCTATATCCTATATGGCCTACATACAAAAAGCATATAGAATAGGCACTCCAAACGTTTCGAAGTAGCTGTTTATTTTAGCCAATATGCTTATAATTCTTGAACTGAGTCGCTGGCTTCCCACCGCGGCGGCCCGGCTTCGATCCCGGGTCTGGTCAAGTGGGAATTATAGCGGACAAAGTGGCGCTGAGGCGGGTTCTCTCCGAATACTTCGGTTTCCCCTGCCAATCTTCATTCCATCAAATTCTCCATTATCATAATCACCCGGGGCAGGTTACAATGGGCCAATCAGTGGCGCCGTGCCGAGTAGACCCAGTTGGACTCCACCCCCCCACTAAGCTAATAAAATAAAATTCTACAAGCCGGAAGGTCGCGGGTTCTATTCCCCAAGAGTTCACTGAATTTTTCAATTGATCTAATCCTTCCAGCAGCACTATGGCCCTGGAGTCGACTCAGCCTCTCACAGAAATGAGTACCAGGAATCTTCCTGGGGATAATGGGCGGCCGGGCTGTGTGTAAGGCTGAAAACCTCACCGCCATCTGTGAGCCATTTATCTATAAAATGTGAGAGCCTCCTTGCAGATGGATACTGATAACGGCCTGCAGGTCTGCCTTATGTCGTATATGCCTATATAAATTTAAAGGAAGTTGAGTCTCAGAGGCAGTATAAAGGGCACGAACCAAATTGGTTCTAGATTTTAACAAAGTTTTTAAACCACACTTGTAAATAAACTAATTATAATAATTTATAAATACTTTATTGTATTTGTACACTTCGCTGTGGTTGTTAAAGGGTCAGATCTCATGGTCATGGCATTGTNGTGCCAAATCCCAGAAGACTGCTTTCTTCATAGTCACCGCCGTGAAAGCCTCAAATCTTACATATTGTAATAGTAGTTTCCGCCCGTATTGATATGTCCTGAAGATGGTCTCTCAAACCGAAACATGTCAAGGATGAAAGATTAAGAAGGAAGAAAAAAAAACATTTATCAGTCACACTGAACGGAGTTGGTTAACCTTTTATAATCGTTGGAATTAGGACACAGCAGCTACTTCCCACAACTTATCCCTGTAACAGGCCGTGAAGGTACATAGCGTTGTGAGACGTCGAGGCTCCCACATTGTCTAGATAGTCTGCTTACAAATGACGGTGAGGTTGTCAGCCTTACGCGCCGGGCACCCTTTACCCGCCCAGGAAGATTCATGGTACTAATTTCTATTAAAGGCTGAGTCGATCTCAGGGCCATAGTGCGTCTGGAAGAATTAGGTTAATTAAAAATTCCAATTACGTCATCAAGAATCGAAACCGCGACCTTCCAGTTTGTAGCATAGTGCCTCAACCAATTAGGCTATCACGTGCCACCGACAGTGACGTTAGAGAACTATATATAATATAAATAAAAAGGAAAAGAAGCAGTGTCACAAATTAATGATCATAAACTTAAAAAGTCGCTGAGACGAAGAGTTTCAAAACTGAACATTGAAAAGCGGACAGCTGAGCGTAGTTAGTGCCCACTTCTCCATTCAGTTTTGAAAAAGAACGAGAAGGGGAGAAAAACAGTACAAGAATTGGAAAACTTGTACATAAAATATAAAGTACAAATTTTTGTAACAACGGAGAATGCTGATGCAATATATATGGGGAGCTATAAAGCTAGACACCTAGTGTTCGTTTGGTAAGTCAGTAAGGCGCAAATGTTCAAAATTTGTCACTTCCAAGCTGAATTGTGTATTTAGAGGTATCGAGGAAGAGGTGTGATCGAAAATTAAATTCTAGTCGAGTGCGTTCAGATATTATAAGCAGGAAAAGACACAAACTAAACATTTTGGAATAGGAGCTTCATATTTTAATATAATTCTAAATGAGTGAAATATCAACCTTCATGGGTGTCCAAAACTAAAATAGATAAGTGTATTTGCTTAAAAATTTTGTGAGAAAGTTAATTAAAGATACTTGAATATAAATCTTAAATTTTGAAAAAATGTCAAGCAGTAAGGGATATTAACGTCATTAAATTCTGAATGTTTTCACGTAATAACTGATAATATTTCAATACAAATCCTAAATTCTATTTAAATTTAATTAAATAAAGAATCTAATTCCAATAAATTTCGAAGTCTGATTTCTTAACCGGTGCTTTCTGAAACGACATGCGACAGAGATAAAAAAAATTAATTACATTTTAAAAAGAGTGAAATTCCGTTAACTGAATACAAGCGAAATACAAAAATTTACATGAAATTTGTGAAAGTGGAAGAAAATTTATATATGCAACATTAAAGTGAAAAATAGTTGACAGGAAGGAACAGAAATCATAAATTTTCTTTAACTGTATCTGAAATTTTGTCATTTACCCAACATGGATACCCAATATTCACCTGAAATATTAGGGATACAGAATATTCTTCGTCTGACTGTTCGAGTACTCCAAACCTTCGGTCTCTTGCTTGATGATTCTCTCCCCAGAAGTCGACTTTGCCGTCTACTCCGGAAGGGGGTTCTGTTCTCTCTTGTTTTCATTCATACTCACTTTGTGTTTGGTTCAGTAACTGAATTACTCCTGTCAGATGAGGAATTAAATTTTAAATTTGAAATTCTGAACCTTTCTTTTAGTTACGCGAAGGGGGCAATGCAATTTTATTTTCTAATTATCTCTGGTAACAAATTTCTTGAGATAATCAAATCTGCAGAAGATAATTTCTTTATTTACGGGAAACCAGTGGCAAATACTGAAATAGCAGTTGTTGAGAGTTGTGTGCAAACGGCCAGAAGACTGACACGCTTCATGTGGATGACTTTTGCACTAACATTGAGCTCCGTTTACATTGAGTTAATACCGATTTTTATTACTGCAGTAGAAAACGACGTAACTGAATTTGATGGAAAAGTTACAGGTAGAAGGAAAACTGTTTATAAAGTCTGGACGCCTTTTCAAAAATTAGAGAGTCCTTACTTGAAAATGGACATAATTTACGAATTGTTAAGTATTTCTACATTTTTCGTAGTATTCACTTCAATCAACTTACTAACATTAATTCTTATAATATTCTTTGCGGGGCATTTCAATTTATTGGCTGAATCCATTCAGAATCTTATGAAGACGACGGATCAACACATAAGAACAGGTATCACAACATATTCTGTGAAACAGTTAATCATTTAAAGCCTGGCAGAGTCAGGGTCTGAATCAGTTACTTTACGACTGGCGGCTTACCGCCAATCAGTTCTTCTTGCCGACAAGCCTCTTGAGTCTCACGACCAGTATTTCTTTCAATTTAATTTAAACGGAAAACACCGTCTCCCATTGTTGTGGAGACATGTTTGCCGTTGCTTTGCCTGGTAACAGACTTCCTACAACTCCGTGCTTTTGCTCGGCGTGGACCGCATAGAAAACACTCTATTGTTGTCTGCATTCATGTTTACAAAGCTGTTGCCTGGCAACGCGTTGATCAAATATTTTTTGGGAATTACATAACATAGAAGAGGACGATTACATACGATGAATTCATATATTTGTGGGAGGAAATTGTCCAGAACTATTTTACGTACCCACAGCAGCAATGACTTGAAGAAATTAAGGAATACGACGATGGCCATGTTAAGGCTAAACAATAGAGAGTAGAAATTCTGGCCTCTTGGGTACACGGCAAATGCAGTCTACTAACCACTCAGTCATTAAGTTATGTTCTCTATTACTTAAGTCGCTTTGCAAATAAATCAAACATAGATTGTAATTCACGATTTCAATAGAAAACAAAGTACAACATGCAGTGACTTCATTCTCGAAAATTACTATTAATTTTTCAGGTGCAATGCTGCCCACGATAACTCAGTTCTACTTCTCAAATGATCCTGACAGTGACAGGTAAAAAACTTAAAAATTTGGAAAGGCCTTATGTTAAATGGTGTCCAATTTATCTGTAGTCTGCGCCCAGCAGAGCCAAAATCCTTCCAAATAGCGGTGCAGCCATATCAGGGATGTCACTGACAGTCGGCTGAAAGATAAACTGTACACTCAGTCTGCCTAAACATCATACTTATTAGCATAACAGGATAAGTATGGAACTTTAGAACATAAATAATTTTAATTGGTACAAGCTTGGAGGTAGAGAGTTCGATTCCCGATGAGGTCATTGCGAATTTCAATTGATCTAATCCTTCCAGACGCACTATGGCCCTGGAGTCGACTCAGTCTCTAATAGAAATGAGTATCAGGAATCTTCCTATGGGCAAAGGGCGGCCGGCGAATAAGGCTGACAACCTCACCGCCATCTTTGGCCCGATTGTCTAGAAAAATGTGGGACCCTGAACGTCTCACAAACCTACTAGCCTCCACTGCCTCTTACAGAGAGAGCTTTACCTTTTTACAACTGAACACGAAAAAAAAAACATACAAACTCCGTAGTTTTAGTCCTCAAGCGAACTAAACCGACCGAGCGACCGCTGCTTGTCGGAGTAGTACCAACTTTAGCGAATAGAGGGTGTCACGTGGTCAGCACAACGGATCCACACAGACGTTAATCTCGGTTTTCTAGACCGGAGCCGCTATTTCCTTCAAATTTCTCCTCAGTTATCCTCACGAGACTTGAGTAGACCCCGTTCCAGACCCACAGCTTCTCAGAAAATCTTGTAGCGCCGGGAATCGAACCCGAGACCTCTGGATCTGTAGGCAGGAACTCTGACCATTAGAACGCAGAGCGGTCAAAATTCTGAACACAGAGATTTTTAAATGTATTTTTTTATTAATTATCCATTTGCGTACCTGATTATGAGAAACTATAATTATTATATATTATTTTTACAAACGGATTTATGAATAATTCTCGGAGAGTTACTTTGTGTTCTGTGTTCTAGAATCGAAGTCCGTGATTTGGAAACTTCGCCCGGTATCAAGAACAAAGTTCCGAAGAAGGTGACAGACAAATCTGAATCAGCTCCAAAGTGCTATGGTAAATCCATGGAAGATGACTTACGACAGTACATAGAACACCACAAGAAACTTCTGAAGTGAGTTCTCTCTTTGCTTTACCCATTTATACGCTTGCATCATGTACACGGGGAATTTGTGACTTGGGCCTCTACCCATACAGCACATGCAGCACCATGGGGCACATTTCACAATAGATCCGGTATAGCTCAGTCGGTACAGTGACGGGCCACGAGCTGGAAGGCCGGAACTCGATTTTTGGAAAGGGCAACAAATCTTTCTCTATTATACAGCGTCCAGACCGGCTCTGGGGCCCACCCAGCCTCGTGTACAGTTGCTACCGGGGGTATGTGTGTGTATGAGTGTAAGGGGTAGGCCACAAATTCCTTCCCATGCATTGCGACCTTCAATGATCTACTGTGCTTCTCCTTTGGATTAACCCTTTATTAATCCTACTTACTTACTTACTCATGGACCTCAGCCCTTCTGGAGGAGCCGCCAATTCTGCAGCTACTCAAGAATTTCCCAGCATTTTATGGAACCCGAAGGTTCATTACCGTGTTCACAAGAGCCCTCCACTGGTCCATATCCTGAGCCAGATCTATCCAATCCATACCATCCCATCCTATCTCTCTAAGATCCATTCTAATATTGTCCACCCACCTACGCCTTGGTCTTCCCTGTGGTCTCTTTCCTTCTGGCTTTCCAACCAATATCCTATACGAATTCGTCTTCTCCATTCGTGCTACATGACCTGCCCACCTCATCCTCCTTGACTTGATCATTCTAATTATACTTGGAGAAGAGTACAAGTTATGAAGCTCCTCATTATGCAGTTTTCTCCACCCTCCTGTCTTATTAATCCTACACTTCGAATAAAATGTAGGACCTTATTTATGCGGGCGTCATACAAATCACTTGGTTCCATGAAGAGCTGACCCAGGTGAAGAAATCTGAAGTAAGCTATGGCCTCACAATCATATAGGATGTGTGTGGCTGATTCGTCTTCTTGTAGGCATCTCTCATAGGTTGGGTCATCTGTCAGTCCCAGTTTGAAAAGGTGTCCTTTTAGGTGGCAGTGGCCATACTACCCGGGCTAAAGCGGCCGGGTCGTGAAGACGACCACTCACCTCCAATTGGTGTCGAGATCAAGAATGCTGGAGCTATACCTACACTCCCCCATACGTCTTCATGGTGTGGTGCTTAGTGAATTCCTTTTTACATACATATACAGTAAAACTTGGTTATAGCAACATCGGTTTCTGCGACACCTTGTCTATTGCGTCAAATATTCAATGGTACGAACTAATTCCTCATAAAGCAACTGTTTTTATGCCTTGCTTAGTACGACATGCACAAATGCATCAACCTCGTATGTAACGTCATTTTCATTCCTGAATTTCTCTGATATGGACATTGAACGTAATTTAGAAAGTGTGTATTGGGCAAGTAACAGGAAACAGATGAAGATAACTGATTACTGTACTCGTATCTAGGTACAGTAAGGCACAACAATTGATGTAATCTACTGTAATTTGGTGAGTAGGCCTACCTTTAATATACAGTATTAGTGCGGTGTGTATTGTCAGTGAAAAGCGCTGTAATATGTCTTTGATATTACACATTTGGGCAATTCCACGTTAATGTTACGTTAGTCTGTACTTAACTACGTATTTCACTAAAAAATGCAACATTTTAACTCGGTTTTTGGTAGATTTTTATGTGACTAACATAAGGCTACTGTGGAAGTGCCCATTTCGGTTACAACGACATTCGTTTATAACGACACTATTTTTAGGTCCCTTTGATGACGTTATAACCAAGTTCTACTGTATATACACTGTGAATCTACTCGACCCCAATTTTGGTTCCAGATTCTCTGAGATGCTGAACTCTCTACTGAGCCCCATTATGTTCATGAGGATACTGACAGCTGTAATCGTATTTGGCTTCGATGGATTCAACATAACGGTAAGTCTTACAGACACATGTCACGAAACGGAGGTTTCGGTTTTGTGCGGCCGTCAGCAAAACGCTTTTATAAGTAAACACAACTAATATTATCGTGAAAATTCCGTAGAAAATGGAGAATTCACACGTTAATATTAGTTTAATTTACTGATAAATGTATCGCAGTGGCGTAGTTGGTTGAGGCACTATGCTACAAACCGGAAGGTCGCGCGGGATCGAATCCCGACGAAGTAATTGGATATTTTTCAATTGACCTAATCCTTCCGGCCGCACTATGGCCCTGGGGTCGACTCAGCTTCTAACAGAAATGAGTACCAGGAATTAATTAATAATTTTCCTGGGCAGTAAAGCGTGGCCGGCGCGTAAGACTGACAACATTACCGCCATCTATGAGCCGACTGTCTAGAAAATGTGAGAACCTCAACATCTCACAACCCTATGCCACACGCACTAGGATTATCAGTCTTCACTAGCCGTATCCTGGCAAAGGGTTCGAAACTGTCTCGCTGGCACTTCAAATCACATATGAAGTCTTCTTTTCACAGTCTAATTCCTCTCTTCCCATTATTTTGCAGCTGCAAATTCCGAAGACTCCACTCAATTTAATTCCTTTGCTCCCAAGTTCATATCCCGGCAAGCTGGCGTCTCGGAACTCGNTTGAGTTCCTATGCTCCCAAGCTCTTATACCGGCAGGCTGGCATCTAGAAACTCGACTTTTCACTCTCTCCTGCTCCACTTTGCACGGTCGCCACGGAAAACATCGTTTTATGTTGTCCTTATTGTTTTAGGCGTATTTACCGCACATTGCATAGCAATGTTCGCGGCGCGGACCACATAGAAAACAACCTATTGTTGAGGCGTGTTTACCGCGGGCATCTGTTTATTGAGTCGTTGCCTAGCAAGGGGTATACACGTCACAAATATAATGCAAGACCAACATGAGCGCCGATACAGAGAAATGACAGGTATCCTAACCCCTCCCTGGATGTCGAAACCAGAAGAAATTATATATAAAAAAAAGTAAAGCTATCCCTGTAACAGGCCGTTAAGGCCCACAGGGTTGTGAGTCGTTGAGGGTTCCACATTATCTAGATAATCGGCTCATAGATGGCGGTAAGGTTGTCAGACTTAGGCACCGGTCGCGCTTTACTGCCCAGGAAAAGTATTTAATTAATTCCTGGTACTCATTTCTGTTATAGGCTGAGTCGATCCCAGGGCCACAGTGCGGCTGGAAGGATTAGGTCAATTGAAAAAAAAATCCAATGACCTCATCGGGACATGAACCCGCGACTTTCCGGCTTGTAGCATACCAAATAAAAATATAAATACTACAAGATTATTTTCAATGTTGAGCTGTAATAATGACTAGATAATGTGTCTGGATTGATAATCGGATTTATCGAAGGCCTCTTAATTATAAATAACTGCAAAAGTCTGGCTGAATTACACTCTATAAATCCTTACAAATACAAGACGCAGGAAATATTGTTATTCTGTCAATAGTCGTTGCTCAGCAGCGGCATCTAACAATTTAACTCAAGACTTGAGACTGACAATCACCGACTCCAATCTCCGACTTCAGATTTATGACTGACTAAATTTCGCGATGGTTCTCACCACATAGCCTCGGCGCGAACCACTTAGGAAACATCGCCTCCAAGAATTATTCTACTGTTGCCGCGGACACGTGTTTACGTGACGTTGCCTAGCAATGGCCGTCCTTATTTCTTCCACTATTTAGACTTTCAGCTATCATGTCACAAAATTCTTATACTGCCTAATGTAAGGGTGTGAGCAGTATTGCCAACAGTGAATGTGCTTACTTCAAGATGGCCGAAATGCCAAAACGTGTTTTGCAATACAAACGTATACCGTATCTACACAGAAGCTGTGCTGACGGAAATTAATGCAGGAAGGGGTAAAGTCTTAATGCAGCAGTGGATCTTTAAAGTTAACAAACTGTGCCAGAAATGAATTGGTATTTTCCGGAGTGTAAATTTAGTTTTCTTCAAGAGCAGAACTGTCAAATTTCGTCTGATTGAGGGTAATGCAGTTGCTTTCCTCAGTCCGTCCAGGAAATGTCGGAGAGCACCTTAAATTACTATGGTTCCTTCCTTCCACAACTTTCTAATTTATTATTACTCAATCGTTCAACTGGCCCCAGTACTGCAGGTACGTCATAACACAGAAAACCGAAACATAAATACTTACTCATAAAAAAGGTAAAGCTATCCCTGTAACAGGCCGTGGAGGCCCATAGGGTTGTGATACGTCGAGGCTCCCACATTATCTGTAGACAATCGGCTCACAGATGGCGGTAAGTTTGTCAGCCTTACGCTCCTGCCGCCCTTTATCCCTAGGAAAATTCCTGGTACTCATTTCTGTTAGAGGCTGAGTCGACCCCAGGGCCATAGTGCGGCTGGAAGGATTAGGTAAATTGAAAAAAAAAAAAACACTTCATCGGAACTCGAAACCTCGGCCTTCCGGCTTGTAGCGTAGTGCCTCAACCAACTACGCTACCGCGTGCCCTAATTCTCACTCATTTACAAGCAAATTACTGTTCATGTATCCGTGAATTATACATATACGAGCATTACATGTTTTTTTCAATTTCTCGCCCCAACAGCGCACATCCGACAATCTTGTGCTCCTGAGGTACATCGCGGGATTGTCATATAGCATGTTGGAAACAGGGCTGACATGCTGGTTCGCGTCCAGGCTCTCCATGCAGGTAAAGAAATAGGAACTCCAAACGAAAATCAAGTGAATAAAGTGCACTTATAACCTAAGATAAGCTACAGCCTTCACTGATCATTTGAAGGCGAATGCTAGCGGTAGCGTAAGTTCCTGGTAGGATCACCGATCCTTAGACAGGTAGAAGGCTGAGGGCCAGAAAGAAGGGTACAGCTAGTCTTCTAGATGTTGGTACGGCCTGGTGCTAGCAAACTCACACCGGAATTATGTATAGAGTAAAAAAAGGTAAAGTTGTCTCTGTTCTTAACTAATTAAGCACTTCACTATAAAAGCGTATGGGGGAGTGGACGTATAGATCTATATTTTCTTGACCTGGGCAGTAGCTAGAGATGAGTGGTCAGCTTCAAGCCCCGGCCGCTTTAACCCGGGGAAAGAGACCCCGGTAACCATTGGATAGGTTTGGTGGATTCCAGACCCGGTTTGAACCTCGTAGGGAAGAGAAAATTATTGACAATACCGGGACTCGAACTCTCACCCCTCGGTCGTCCAGCCCTCAGCCAGTCACTATACCGACTGCACTATCCCGGCTCCTTATATATATATATATATATATAGGGTAAGAAATTTAATTATATATGGCTGTCTAAAGGAAAAACTGACAGTTGTAAAGGAGGCGAAGGTTCTCAGAGCACCTTAAAGCCATTGAGTAAGTAAGTAAGTAAGTAAGTAAGTATGTAAGCAAGACAAGGCATTATCTGTATTGCAAAGCACTGACCGACAGAGGTCTCGTATATATTGTTTTGTATACATGTAGGACTGTAAATATTAGTTAAGGTGTATATTATTTTATACATGCACATCCAGCTAGTGCCAAGGTCAAGAAAATGTGGCTCAATGTACCAACTCACCCATACGCCTTCATGGCCTAGTCCTTAATTAATTAATTAATCGCAGGGACAAATTTACCTTTTAACCTTCTTATTTTATAGCTGCAAACATAGTGAAAATATGAGTACTTAATAATCGCAGAGACATTAAAGAAAGACATTCGATCTCTCGTCAGAGTGGATGTCCAACAACGTCCATGCGATGGTCAGACTTGTGATCACAAATGTGGTCATGAGCGCTCCTAAGGGGCTGAGTTTGAAGATCTATCAATTGCAAAACCGTTACGAGTATGACTAAAGGGATTTTTACACATCTTTCGTCAAATCAATTTTATTTTGTCTGATTCCAGAGTGAGATGGTTGGTGAAGGGGTGTACAATTCTGTATGGTACGACAAACCTATTGACGTTCAACATTCTTTGAAATTTATCATCATGAGGTCCCAGCGCCCAGTTGCGCTGTCAATAGGGCCGTTCGGAACCCTTTCCATGAATCTGTTTGCCACGGTACGTACAACTGTTTGTCCTAGCGTAGTTGGTTGAGGGGCTATGCTACACGCTGGACGATCGCGGGTTCAAGTCCCGATGAGGTCAATGGATTTTTTTTCAACCGACCAAATCCTTCCAGCCGCACTATGGCCCTGGAGTCGACTCAGCCTCTAACAAAAATGAGTGCCAAGAATTAATTAAATAATTTTCTTGGGGAGGAAAGGGCGGCCGGCGCGTAAGGCTGACAACCTTACCGCCATCTGTGAGCCGATTGTCTAGATAATGTGGGAACCCTCAACGTCTCACAACCCTATAGGCCTTCACGGCCTGTTACAGGGATAGCTCTACTTACTTTACTTTAAAAATTTGAAGCTTGGAATTCTTACGAATAATACTTTAAAAATTCAGTTGACATATTGTGCATAAGGCATTCAGAGTGGCCGCACGGTCAAAGGCATGAACTGTCTTCGCTTGCTCGGAACCCGGGACCGTGGATTCGAAACCTACTCAAGGCAATGTCTGCGTGTTCGTTTATTCTGTGTTTGTGTAGTCCTGTGTTTAGGTAGCGGCCTTGCGACGGGATGATCCTCCGTCCAAGGAGTCCTACCGTCTGCGTAAAAGATTACGAAACTGAATAAAGGCCAGGGCCAAACAAAAAGATGCAGAGACATTGATGGGTGAATAAATGAGGGGTTTTCCCTCTCGCTCCCACTGTGGAGCACAGGGCTGATTTCTCATTTTCATGATCATTTTACAGACGGTAGGATTCCTTGGGCGGGTGATCAGCTCGTTGCAAGACCTCTACCTAAACACAAACACAGAGAAACAAACTCACGCCAAATATCCATGCCCTGAGTGGGATTCGAAACCACGGTCCTGGGTTCCGAGCAAGCGAAGACAGTACATGCCTTTGACCGCGCGGCTACAGTGACCGGCAATAAATGAAGTAAAGTGCATTCATTTCTTTGAGGGCGTATCATCAGTTAGTGCCGTAGACCGTTCTGCCATCAATAGAAAGTTACTAGAGTGTATGTTTCGACACAAAATGTGAACCAGAATTACGGTAAGCTAAGATTTGGATTCTCTTTCAGATCCTGAATTCTGCTTACTCATACTTCACTGTCCTGACGCAGTTTCAACAGAAGTGACAACATTCTGCAGCGGATTCTTCAGTACAATATCTCCTAGTAGTAGGCAAATATGCCGGTCACGGTAGCCCAGCGGTCTAAGGCACGTACTGTCTTCGCTCGCTTGGAAACCGGGATCGTGGGTTCGAATCCCACTCAGGGCATGGATGTTTAGTGTGTGCGTTTCTCTGTGTTTGTGTACAGGCAGAGGCCTTGCGACGAGCTGATCACCCACCCAAGGAGTCATACCGAATGTGTAAGATCTAGAAAAGCCGAAGTGAACGGAGAAGTTCATGGAGGTAGACCTAGGCCCACTGGGGCTGTAGTGCCAAGGAAAAAAAAGTAGGCAAATATTCTCACCTGCGATTCTCAAGCAAGGTCATGAGAAAGTTTTAAAAGCAACACAGGAAGTCAGGAGTAACCGGTTTTAACTTCTCGCATAGTTAAAATCTAGATGTACGGTATATATTTTGGTATCGCAAATCATCGCAGTACTTAAATATCTTAACGGTAAAGTTGTCTCTGTGCTTAACTAATTAAGCACTGCCCCATGAAGGCGTGTGAGAGAGTAGACGTATATGTACATATTTCCTTGACCTGGGGGAGTACACGTATAGATACATATTTCCTTGACCTCGGCACTAGTTGGAGTGCTTATCTTCACGCCCCGGCCGCATAACCCCCGCCCCCCTGGGAAAGAGTCCCTGGTACCCATTAGATAGGAGGCTGGATGGGCCTCAGAGCCGGTCTGGACGACATGGAGAAGAGAAAATTCTTGATGTTACCGGGACTCGACTCCGAGCCCGTAGCCAGTCGCTATACCAACTGCGCTATCCCGGCGCATAATATTATAAATCCTTGGGAAAATAATGCGTGTTTAACTTTAAATGACGTCAGGCTATGTGACCAACGGTCAATAAGCAACAAGTAAATTATGATATGTTTCGAAAGAACTTAAACTGCCTAACACTTCAGAACCCTATACACAGTACTTGTCATTCTTTCACTGGAATAAGACACTGACACGCTTGAAGTAATAAATTTTGTTTTATGAGCAGGCCTACTTTACTCGTATCTGCATTTATTCTTCGCATTTCAGCCCATCTTTCAGCTTCAGCAGTCCCCAACCTCTCTCGGCCACAAATGAAACGAAAAAAAAAAATTGTAAAATGACATAAAATGTTTATTTGTATCCAGCTGTATAAGATAATGGATATAATCTCCTGGAATGTTTCGCCGTGTATTCTGGCAGAAATATACTGACGTTTCAGAGGAACATACTATGAAACGTAGTTACATTTATAAGAGGCTACGCTGGGTAACATCCCAGAAGACATTAATCTTCAGTCACCGCCCTGAGATCCTCAAATATCATATTTAATAAAATAGTTTATGTCAGACTAACGAAAAAATCTTACTATCCAAAGTTTCCTAACTCTTTCATCTGTAACTACTGATATTACGAGTAGCTGTATTTCAATACATGTAACTATCGAATCTATACAATCCATCTAGTCGAGATGTAGGCGTAAAGTGAACTAAGAAGCAGAGGACGCGAGCCTCATCAGTTCGTTTGCTTTCCACTGACGTCCCCGGTTCTTCCTCTCTGATGTTCGTAGTTTCCTCGTCCCACGATCTTCTTGAAATATGAATAACTGATCAAAATACTGTTACGTATTCAAGGTTTGCGTGACGAATAATAATGGGTTCTGGATTTGATGATTGGATTTGTTGGCATTTCTTTACATTTACAATCAATTATTACACACAATTTTGAGCGCAAAGGCCTCTCTTCATTCTGTTTCTCGTTCTAAGACTGACTGCCAACGACCTTCGGTGTCCCCTATGAAACATCGGCACGGACCACGCACAGAAAACATACTGAGAACAACATAACCTAGCAACTGTTGTAGTATTATAGAGATGTGTTTCAGTTGCCGTTGTATATAAACGGCAATTCTTCTATTGTTGCCCGCGTGAACGTATTTAGCGACCCGGTGCGTAGCAATGGATTACTCCGTCACAATTTTGTGACATGACGACTGAAAGCCGGAACAGTGGAACGAGTAGAGGCGGTCATTATTAGGCACCTGCACGATAAATATGTTTCCGTGGCAACATATACTGACGAAACAATAGAGGACGCGGTCCAACAAACCCAATTATTAACCCAAACTCTGTGCCTAGTCAATAACACGTGACATTATGTAAACACATGCTGTTAAGACAACAAAGTGCAATATATGTAGCGCCGAACAGGCTGGCCTATAGGTAACGCTCTAGAGTTGTATTCGATGGAACTCGGTTCAAATCTCGGCCGAGAAACCGCCTGTATTAAGTTTCATCATAGTTTTCCTGAGTCACCCATGGCAAATGGACCACTTCCTTTCAGATCCTTGCATATTCGTCTATCATCTACCATCCGACGCTATGGTCTCGACAGTAAAAGCGCCGTTAAATAACCTACGAAAGAAATTACAGCAGCGCGGTAAAACGAAACAAGCCCCAGTAATTCTCTCTAACGCGTGAGGACCTCAAAAATTTGATTTCAAATTCATGTTCCAAGCAAATTCCAGCATCGATCTCCTAAAACAAAATTTCACCCAATTCCATTAAAATCATTGTGGGATTTCGACAGATATGGGCAGAACACGGAGCAGATATTACAAAAACAAAACTCCGTGCCCCTTTTTCCGCAAGCGAACTATACCGGCCGAGCGACCGCCGCTTGTCGGCGAAATTAGTGCCAACTTTAGCGGATAGAGGGTGTTGTGTGGTCACCACAACGGATCCCCACGGCCATTAATCTCGGCTTTCTAGACCGGAGTAATTATTTTTCCATTCAAGTACCTCCTCAATTATCGTCGCGAGGCTGAGTGGACCCCGTTCCAAATTCACTACTTCTCAGAAAATCTGGTAGCGCCAATAATCGAACCCGGGACCTCTGGATCTGTAGCCAGAAACTCTGACCACCAGACCACAGAGGCGGATGAGCGGATATTAAAGGTTGTTTACATGGTCGTTAAGTAATATAAGTATTTGTGATCTTATGTAAATCGGCATTGTCTCATGAAATATGAGACATTAGTAACAAGAAAAAGACCTAACTACGTTTCTAGAACATTCTGCGTCAATTTCGCTCTTCCTCACAACGCTGTAGTGAAGATATGAATAATAATGTTAGTCTGTGTGAGTTTCGAAAGCTGTTTGACGCGAATCTATAAAGGAACCGTGGAATTATTACAGGCTTCTTCATATTTCTCAACAGTCTATCCGATACTGTCTTCAAAATGATTTCAACTTCCGAAACTTTATAACTGTATTTTCTTTCAAGTTTGATTTATTGGAATAACATGAGCACGTCTGTTCTGCAAATGAATTAACAATTTCGCGTAAGATTAACAGACGTTCTATACACGCAAAGGACTTACGGAAAGTATAAGAACTCTAAGGACGAGAATTATTGATTCCCTCCTATAAAATTAAAAGTTTTCAGATCCAATTTTGACCAAAGAACTAATGAATGAGAACTAGAAAGCAAAGAATTGCAGGAATATGTATATGAATCACTTCAACTGCAGGCAAGAATCTTGCTAGAAGCATCTGAAGTCGCAGAAGTGTAGTGTCGACAAGCAGAGAATCACATAGTCTGTGTATTTAGTCTATTACTCAGCCTCGTAAGGATAACTGAGGAGCTATTTCAAGGAAATAGCGGCGCCGGTCTAGAAAACCGAGCTTAACGGCCGTGGGGAATGTGCTGGGCTGACCACGTGACACCCTCTATCCTCTAAAGTTGGAACTAACTTCACCGACAAGCGGAGGTCACTCGGTCGGTATAGTTCGCTTGCAGACTTGCAATGGGGTTTTTCTTTTGTTTGGAGTCGAAATATAATCAACAATATTCGTCGTAATAAATTACATATAAATATAACATTCGAAGGGGGAAACCGTTTGGAATACAGATTTGTACAGATACATTAAATCAGTTTTACAGATGCGAACTCAGTAAAGGAAAGAAGAAGAAAACAGGACGTGGTAAAAGAAGGCAACAACAGAATGATTTTCAAGAAAGAACTAGAGAAACTGAGGAATCAAAATATCTTGGAATTAAACTTGAAGATATTTAGATATTTTGGAATTTTACTGGATGATTCCATAAATAGAACACGATGGGAGAAGGTGATGGGCATGGCTAAACAGCTTTTTATAGTGTTCCTGGTTGCCCAGTACTCCCTAGGCACATCAGTAGAACTCTTTCTTTCATTGGGCAACCTAGAGAGAACAGCATACTGTCTCCTCTACATAATAACCTACATGAAAAACATTGTCAAAATCGGAACGTTTGTAATATGTCGTAAAAAAATCCTTTGCCTTCTTTCTAAACTTGAGAACAATTTCTGTATCCAAGGAATAACACCTACAAATGCAGAAAGATCGTTAGTTCAAAGTTATATGAATTTGTCGAAAACAATTGCAAAGTACATCTTGATTTCATTTCTCTTAACACTGGGGCCTATAGTCATCAACACGCCTCCACGGCCAAACCTAGATCTTATTACAGATCATGAAGAAATTAAAAATGTAAGGAGGGATTCTTCGATAAAGATGTGGTTTCCGTTCAGAGCAATTGAAAGTCCTTACTTCGAACTGACTACAGTTTATGAAAAAGTTACCACCTCCATACACTTCTTCTTCATCACGACAATAAATACAACAATTGTTGGCCTCATAATTCACATGACTGCGCACTTCGCGGTTCTGGCAGAAACGATAAGGAACGGGATGACCCGTACTGCAACTTTAAGAGACAAGAACCGCTGTGAAACAGGTAAGAATTCTCCCTCTATCATTATCAATCTCAATAACACAGCACAACGAATTTACATTGTTTAGCCAATTTTCCTTGTTTAAAATAACAAACAGAGGGTTATGAGATCACCTTGCTGTCTGCGTACTTGTGTATCCTCCCTAACGCCCAAACGTCGGAGTAGTGGAGCCATGACAGAACTGTCTGTGTATCTACCGCCTTCCGCTGCTAGGCAACGGCCCAGTAAACAAGTTCCCGCAGCAATGAATACAAACGCAACAAAAAATTGTTGGACGCATGGTTTCCTA